ATATATTGTTATTTAGTAATGTAGCTAATAATGTAGTTTCTTAAAATATATATTAATAAACTTGAGAAGTTTGAAATTAATATGCTTTGTTTTTATTTCCAAAAATATAACTTTAACGATATAGATTGAATTTTTTAAATTAATATCATGTTTGGGAATATATAAAAATTTTTCAAATAAATATACATTAATGTCTACTTAATATACTAATTTTTTAGAATATTTTAGAATAAAATCACGTTGCGTACACACACATGCGAAATACATCATTCATTAACCAAAACTAACAAAAATACAAAGATTTTCAGTTTTGTTACGATAATTCACGATAGTTTTACAACTAGCTATACAACTTTTAAGACGTTTTTTTATTAAACTATTTTTGTATATGGAAAAATATGCGCAATGGAATTTCCTATCGATATAATTAAACATATAAATACAATTATTGTAGTTAAAAAATATAGTAGTATGTTTATAAACTTAGCGAACTTGTAAAAACGACATGTTCTTGCATCCGAAGGTTCAATTTAGATTATGACAATTAATAAAACAACATTTACCTTGGATAACAAATCTATTGAACGCTGTTTGAAGAAATACTGTAAGCAATGATACACAAATATGAAAAACGACACGTGATTCTGACTCTCTTAAAGCATAGTTCTTCCGTACATCAAAGTAATGGTGTAGAAATTCACATAATCGCCACGTCGAGTGTGCCGAAACAAAACGCGAGCGATGCATTACTAAGGCTGCGTTCGATTTGGAGCTCACAGCGCTTGTAAGCATCATTGTTTCATATTTAATAAATAACAAGGATGAAATGACGCTTACAGCGGTATGAGCGCTAAAAGAAATGCAGCCTAAAAGGATTATTTGTCCGATATTTAATCATAACATGCAGGTGGCAGAATTGGTATCGGATTCACGGATTTATTTCCAAAAACTAAGCGTCGATTTTTTCTATCTTTGGGTTTTTTTTTGCGGCACGATCCTCACTATCTCTCGTCAGAAAACTTCCTCTCATTTTTTACTTTGAAAATTTTGTGATATACATATGAAACTTTATCTATTCTCATAAAAAACATTTTACTTTAATATGCGCATGATATCAAATTTATAGGATAAGTTTTCGGATTTTAAGATTTTATTTAATAATTTTTTTAAACAACTTTCACCGCTCATTTTGCCG